AATTCCCCAGCCAGCCATGCTGGCTGGGGAATTCTGGGAGTTGAAGTCCACCCATCTTGAAGCGGCCAAGGTTGAGAAACACTGGTCCATTGGGATAAATGTTAAAACATCTTTTCCTGTGGCTGGGAAAAATACTTGGTATGATTACCAACAATTCCCTTTCTCTCAAGATGTGGGAGAAGAACATACTCTGAACAGGACGTTTCCCTCCTGGGAGCACGAACTTCACTGCAGCAAGAGAAACCGGGTCTGAAGGCCAAAATGTTGGAACAACCTGGATGGCATCTCATAATGCGATAACAGCTGAAGACAATCACCCATCCGTGCGCTCACGACGCAGGCCCAGCAGACGTGCCCTATCCGATCTGTAACAGTTGCCTGTGCTTAAAGTACACGGATATTTACAGGGCATGGGTAGACAAATCATAAGATGTTTTGCGTGCAGGATCTAATTAGTGTGTATGTTTGCAGGTGAGAAAAACTCATTTAAATCATCGTTAACGTAATACTGAGGTCAGAACTCAGCTCTTCTGAATCCTATGACTTTCAAGAGAAACGCACGCGCACGCATAAATCAAATAGGCTGGTTTGCGCAAGCCAAAACTGAGATTAGTGTTAATCAAGTTAGCAAACTGGGTGGGGGCCTCTGCTAAATCTTTCAGTGCGAGCTTGAATCTCACCAGCAACCCACAATATTTGGTAATTAACTTCCCTTGAAGAGAAACTGAAGCATTCAGGAGCTTTACACAAAATACCCATACTTGTACAGTGTACTTTTCTTTGTCACTCTCATAATGGATTGAAGTTACAGCATATGTTAAATTCTACTAATAATACATTTAAAACGATAATATTTATGCAGCATTCCTAGCATCCTGGGTAGAAAACAATTATGTAGCTAACAAGCAGCTTTGCTGCCATTTAACTTTTACCAACTAAGAAATTTTATATGTAATTTCTGTCCAACGCTTGGAATACCCAGGGTAGTGTGTGTGTTCACAATGTTTCAAATCTCCTGTTTTCCTTTTTTTCTCTTAAGTTTAGACATTATAAGATGTGGCAATATGAATTCTGCTATGCTTAATTTTTTAAGGATTTAACACAGACAATCCCAGACCTGCAGGTAATTTTATTGAGTTGCTTCTTGAAAGAGGGAGCAGCTGAGCAGGCCTTTCCTCTCTCTGGCTGCTATCTAACACCGGAAATGTAACCACCTCATTAAAAAAAGAAAAATAATTAAGAAGTGATGATCAGGAGTACCATCAAAGTGAGGAAAAAAGTCAACATCGAAGCGTTTAGCAATATCTGGGGGGAAAAAAAAGACACGTTACAACATGCTCAGCCACATCCAGCTTTTATATTGATATTCCCATGGGATTATAAAAGAAAAATGGATTTGAGAGGTTAAGCGCATCAGTAACTCTCTGAGATTCCAATGCTTGAGAAATATGTTTTAAAAAGGAAACATCAGATCAAAACCAAGTGGTTTCTCTAAAAAGCGTCTAATTTATCACGAAACAAAATTAAGACGGGAAAAACTCTGGGATAGAAAGAGGCATTTTGTCCAGCTGAGGTATCCCGACTCCATGAGCTGCAGGTGAAAATGGCGTGCGCTGTTACTTGCTGTTACTTTAGCACCAGAAAGTAAGTGGTCCACCCAGCCAACAGGAGCGCCCCAAACAAGACGGTGTAGCTGAACAGCACGAAAGCCAGGAGTTCCTTCAGCACTTTCAGAAAATGAAGAGTGAACGATTCCTGCATCATCCTGGCTTTACAAGTTGGTGAAGAAAACTGCATGGGAACAACGGGATCTGGAAGAGGAAGGGAAGGTGGAAGAGAATGAGCGAAGCACAGAATTAAAGATGCTACAAAACAGAAACCGAGTTCGTGATCTACAACAGCCCAGTCCTATACAGATCTACTCAGAAAGAAGTTTTATGGGGCTCAGTGTTCTTGCTGGTGAGTAAATTGGCCTAGGATTAAAATATGTGTCTGTTAAAGCTCTGTGAGTGAGGTAATTGTCTTTGGACTAGAAAACTATTTTGCAAGATCTGACTATAATTTTAAGAGATCAGGAAAGCTGATCCAAGGGAAATAAGGAAAGAGGCCGTTCAAACAGTGAGTGCGCAGCCAGAGAACAGAACCTCAAGATATATGGCTAATAGTGCATTAGTACCAACTAAATTCAGTCATCAAAGCAGTCAATTCTTCCAAAGGGAGCCTACTTTAATATTTAATGTTATAATTGCATCTAATGGACAGGATGCCAGGAAAAAAATGTTTCTGGTTTGGCAATTATCTACAAATTGTATGGCCAGCATCTTTCCATCAGCCCAAAATAAATGGGGCAGATTTAAAATCAATTTCCCTATCGAAATGACACCCAGTGCTGTAACCCAGTAGGATTCAATAGTGCCTAAACTTTTTAAGTACAAGCTTAGTTCGTTTTCAACCCCCAGGTTTTAGAAATATGCGGTGGTGGTCTAATGAACGACGTACCCTTACGAAGATTTGCGATACTTCTCTTTGGGCTTATTCATTATACTGAATTTTCATTTTACAAAGAGGAACATATGAACAGGACAGCTAGTAATTAATCTTACTTCAGTCCCAAAGGTAGAAAGATAAAGCCAAGCTCAGCCTACGGCTAATTGAGATTATTTTTCTCCCCAACAACATAAAAGATGGGAGAGCAAACTAAATAGCCAGCAGACCAAGGACTTGCAGTATTTTGTTTTTTAAAGATACCTTCAGAGAATTTCCTTAAAATAACCGAAGGTATGATTTTCAGTAGCAATACATATGTTTGGGTGTGAATCTTATCTCCTGTAAGATTAGAATAAATCTAATAAATAAATCTAATCTAATAAAATGATCAGAGCACAAAACCTCTTCTATGGTATAAAGTTAATTATACTTGATCTGAAGAAATTGCTCACCTTTTTTGAACGACGAGGTTTGAAGTTCCTCTTCACCTTTGTTTCTGAAGCTTGTCTTGAGTGAGTGGCTTCTGGATGTGGCTGGATCCTCCCGTTAATCTGAAGAGGCAGGCACAGCGATGCTATATATACATACGCCAGATGACTGAAGTACTAATAGGCGAGGTGTGGTCAGGCACTTGTTCTGCCGTGGGATACACAGACCTTCTTTGTTCTTCGCTACACAGAGAAAAATATTCCGAGGCTTTTTAAAAATGAAAATAGAATGGAAGTCATGAGGAAAGTGTTTTTTTTTTTTTTTACAGATACTTCTGCACTTGCCCTAATGAAATACTTGTGTGTGCAAAAACACACGCGGTAATAAATTTGTTACCCTTCTAAGATGCCACTAGAATTTTCCACTTTTCCAAAACAGTACTGGATATGTTTTTATATCGAGCCACTGGATATTAAAAACGGAAGGAATGATTGTTGAGAATGTGAGAACAACTTTCTCCCCACTATCACAATGATAACCTTTACAATGAAACGAAGGTAGGTTTACATGGTTAGCTGCAATCTTACCTTCATACAAAAAAAGTACTCCTTTTAAAAGATGCGTTTGGTTGTTCAACAGAAAGCAAATATATGACAACAGCTAAACACATGTGCGTCAAGCTAAAAACAGCACATTTTCAAATTCAACATCTGCTTTACGTCTCTCAGCTGGTAACAGCATCCAACATCATTCGGTGCTCGGGTCCGTGTTTCACTCAGCCGGGCCTTGGCTGGGGGCGGGGGGGTTGAAGCAGCCACCACTGGGCTCCGATCCCTGCAGCTGACTGAAGTGGCCGGCAGCTTTCCAACTCTGCTGCTCCTGCAAGATAAAGCCCTGGCCACGTGGCCACGTTTCGTGGTGACATTTTGCAGATGCCTCTGACCTGGGGAGAATTTTCTCTCCCTGCTCTTTGAGCATCCCATGTACATTTATTAAATGTATGTTGGTCCTCTGTAGCTTAAAATTAAAAAAGCAGAATTCAGAGGTGCTGAAAATAATGGGGGGTGGGGGTGGAAGGCAGGGAAATGGCATAAGGAGCACAGGCCGTTTGGCACTTTAGAGAAACCCCCAACTTCCGCTCAGAACCAATTTTCGGTTTTGTAAGAGATTTCTCCCATTATGCCTGTATGTAACTCAAACCTGAAAGACATGTCCACTGCTCTATTTAAAAAGTTTATTTTCACCCTCTACGTTACCTGGCTCTTCCTAGCTTATTACGTATGAAAAGGTCTCATTTGTCTCCCCCCCCCCGCCCCTTCTTTAGCTTACAGACATTCAGGCGCAGCAAATGGACTCTAAATTTAATCAGGAGCTCTCGTTATCAAATTATTAGCCTTGCGATCAGCAAGGCCTTCATCAAAAGTGGATCAAAATCAGACTACCCAGGAAGCTGTTAGAATATAATTACCTCCCCCGAGACTTGGTCAACTTTCCCCCAGAAACAAGCTTACTTTTCTTATTCTAAGGTTTTGTATTAATGGGTCACGATAATGACGTTTAATGGGAGAGAATCGTGATATTTTTATAATGATATGAAGTGATTCTGCTGACACTGTTAGTGTAGAAACTGCACGTTCAATAAAGCACACTCACACATATACACACTGGATAATGCCTGCATTTGCATCTTTATATCATTTATCTTCTTCAATTTCAAATGTAGCATTCCAGCACTTTTTAAACATGCCCAGTTTGATTGCAACTGAATGAGGTTTGATGAAAAAAACCCTCTCATGTTCCTCTCCCACTATTCACAACAATATTCACTGCAAATTGTGCAAGCTTGTTCACTGTTAAAGTCTCATAAGCATTTAAGGAGGTATTGATGAGAAAAAAAGACCAGGATATTTTAAAATAGGCAGGAAAGCAGTATTTCCGTAATCTGCCAGAGAAAATTGTGAGAAACGAGTGAAAAAAACAACACCCATGGGAATAGGATGAGTGGGGTAGAACTGTATAAGCTAAGCGGCAGATCTGTTGGAACTGAAGACATTTACAGATTTGCAGACTTTCAAGCTTTAGAATGGTAGCCCGAGAGGGAACCTGGCTAGTTACAAGCTACCAACATGATCAACTCTCTGGGGAGAAAAATTAAGATTGGTGGACTGAAGTAAGAAAACCAAACAAACTATAGAACAGGAAGGAGGAGGAAGTATTAGGAAAAATATCCTGAAAGACTGGAATATACACTAATGAAACGGTGTTTAGAAGCCGTAAGAAAAAGTCTAGGAATTATACTTGTGGACTATGCGCGGGAGCAAACCAAATTCAGATCACTAGGCTGAGCTTTTAGGAAGCAGCCTAGAAACCATCTTCTTTCTCACATTTCATTCCATGATCTCCTTCTCTCCTTCTAAGGCACCAGCTTCTCCCGAAGTTCTCAACACGTACATTACGTATCGTAATGCCAACACGATCGAGTCCTGCTTGATCCCTCTACGCTGCCTCTTATTCTAAAAAGGCGGGGGCTCCAGCTTCTCCATCAGAGATTTGATCCAGCTTGTTCCATTGATCAGTTTTGTGGTTGCAATTACATATTCGGTGCCCCCATCTTCCATCTGAGAGAGAAACCGGAGGGCTGCAATTTCAGCGTAGGTCACTCCACCCAAGAAGAATACAAGGGTGACTCGATTTTCTCCATGCTGACCTGGATTGTTTATAGGGGAAGAATTGAAAACTGGCTTCAAAACTTTTGTGCTTTGCTGCTCACCCACTCAAACCCTCACCTTGTAACTCAGTTTGGACCAGTCAGGTCACAGTGAAAAAGTCTGCTATGTTATTACTGGAGTGTGAACAAACGTATGTATGATATCTTCATGGAGCATCTGCCATACAGGTATGAAGTGCAACGCGGAAGTGAAACATGCCTGCTGCACAGAAACAAATTGCACTTCTGCACTTTTAGAGGGAAGCAGTGGATCTGATCAAGGTTCTTTGAGTATTGTAATATTTGGAAACAACTGGATGCGTCCCACAGTAAGCAATCATCCCACTTGTGTGGCCACTGGAACCCCTAGGTCGGTAAGAGGTCACTGGATCGTGGTGGCCATTATCAGCAGTCCTGTCAGCATTTCAGAGCATATTCCAGGTTGAACCCCCCATTCAAGGAGACTTACGCTTTTTCTGAAGCCCGGTTGGTAACTGCTGCCTCTCCTCAAAGTGTGGGCCCGGAAGCATCTTTAGCACTTCTTCTATGCTTCGCCATCCTGGCCGGGCCAGCAACTGGGCCAGGCGTACGCTCAGAGGAGCGTAGCCGCTATACACGTAAGAAATATCATTCGGGTTCTGCAGAAAGGGAAGAAAGGGTGGAATCAAAGAGCAACAGCATGTTAGCTTACAACCACTTTGCAAGGAATCCTTTACAAGCTGCGAGAGGCAGAAGAGAACTTGCCTGTTCATTGACGTCGTCCATCCACAAACGCAAAGTTTTCCGAATGGTGGGATAGTTGTTTCGACTACCTAACTGGGGCTTCAGAAGTCCAGCCTTTTCTAGGTTATTTAAGGTCAGTATGTGTTCATAGCCGTAAGTCTGTAACAAGTACAACTGCCTTTTAGCATTGGTATATTTATTTTATACATTATTTATGAAATCGTGAGGTCTCCCGCTTAGATAGAAGCTGTCTACCTGCAAGGTTGAAAGAAAAAAATGGATTTATGACGAACATTCAAACAGGAAATGAGCAAGCCTGATTAACTGCTGCATATTCAAGGAAAATAAGTAAATTGTGGGGCAGGACAAAATATCTTGACCCTTTTGCCGAACTTTTCTTTCATCATCTGTGACTACTTCAATTCTGCAAAATGCAATACTCAGCTTTAACGAATTTCCCAAAATTGCTTAAGGTCTTCCCCGAGATGTATCAATATTTGGCTTTATGAAAGTCTAACCTGGAGAATTTCTCTCTTGTAATGATCCAGGACCTTCTGCTTCAGCCCACTGTTGCATACTGACTGCAGACAAACAAGCCTCAGTATCTTAATCAAGGGGTACTTTTGGGCAATACAATCTTCTACGTAAGAGTTGACCTGCACAGAAAAATCCAATTAAATCTGAAACAAAAATCCCAAACTTGCATAGAGGGTACATTCTTTGCAAAATGTACTACCTATTGAAGCAGATATGGAAGAGGTTTCATGCTGTCAACCCTAACTCTTGGCTTTCAAAAACATTTCGTACCAATCTGATGGACTGTAACAAGGCTACCTTTCCACCTGCAGTTTTTGCTTTCCCGTTAGTGATTGCTAAGGGATTAGTTTGGCCCACAGCAACCCGGAAGACAAAGACGCTGAACAGATGTTGTAAACACCAAGTTATGGATGCCACGTTTCCTGGAATAATGCCACTTAGCCAGATGTACATCCACCTCAGTTCCACAGGAAACTAGATCGTGGGCAACACATCAGCTATTTGAGAAAACGTTGGCCTACCTTATCAGTATCTATGCCGGACATAAATTCTTGCTCCACTGTTAAATTATCGAAGAAGTCTTCGGATGCTTACGGTACCAAAAACAAACAAACAAATAGCATTTGAAAAGAAGTGACGTTAATTGGACCTTGAGACATTTCAACAGCAGGGATAATGCTGAGATCTGGCCACTGGGACTTTAATTACCGGAGGGAGAGGTTAAAAGTGGTTCCTCCTTATCCTCCTTACATTCAAGAGGGCAAACCCGCCTTCCCTCCCACCCCGCCCCAAAAAGATGCCCTTGAGTTACTTACTGGTGATGTCTTTGATAAGTTCTGCGATGGAAGTGTGGTTAGCCAAAGAGCTCCTTGCAGCCTGCATGTGCGGCAGCTGTGACACAAACTGCTTGATCTCCCCCACAGTTTTGGCGTGGTGCCTTTCCTAAGAGCATAAATCAAAGGGTCCTGAACTGTGACCTCCTGGGCACCACACTGTCCTTATTTGGGGTCTACGCGTTTTGCATGTCCCCCTCTGCTTTGCTGAGGTTGGCAGAAGCCACAAAACATCGTTTCTGATGTTTTGAGAAGACCATAAAAATCTTCTCCGGGCTCAACTTTCTCCCCTCCTGTCCAACTGCCGAAGAATAGCAAAATGTCACTTCACTGGAAACAGCAATGTCTTAGCCTCCACTGGACTGGTCCATTTTTATGCCCGTTCTAGTTTTAGACAGCACAAAGGTGTTCCTACTTTTCTGTAGCCTGAAGGGAAGCCATGGATGGAACGAGAGGAATCCTCGACTGGAAACCCCCAAGGAGGAATACTGGCCCACATAATTCAGTAACATCTATCAATACAACGTATTTCTGAGCACGCCAGCAAAACTAAAGCTATTGCCAGTAGAAGAAATGGACCTCAGACACACACTCCAGTTTCTAAAATATATTTATTTTAACGGTTATCATCTGCTCTCATGTTTTTTTCTTCTAAGTTTTGTATTTCATTTTCACCATGCATTTTCTTTCCTTAAAAATCTTGTGTTTTGGTCTGAGAACCCTGGTTAAACAATAAACCCTACGCTTTCTAAGTCACCCCCCTCACGATCTGAGAAACGATCATCTGGCACATCTCAGAATGTTTCCTGAAGAGGGATTAGTGGGATTATCTCCACAGCAATGAAAAGCACAGGGTTTGACTCTAAGGACCGGATACTCTATTAATTAATGATCTATTAATTAACCTACCCCAGAAGTTCATCATCTATATCCAGTTTTCTCAGGGCAAAACAAGAGAAAAAAACCATGCACATCCCACACTGACACTTGGGGAAGTGTCAATGATATGAATGGCAAGCCCAGGCAGGAAGACTGTAATGAAGCTGGTCATTAACGGGCCCCTTCTGCCACTCGTAAGCTGCTGTTTCATTATCACCTATTAGATCTGACGATCTTACACCTCTTCTTTCTTCCTTCCTTCCTTCCAGTGTAAAAGTATGAATATCCCTGTGGTATCAGTTATGAAGCTCAGATCTGAACATGATTTCTGGTTCAAGAGACAAGCAGATCTGCCCTGGCCCTTCACAGAGGAAGCAAGGGGGGGAAAAAGGAAGCATGTTTTTAGATCCCAGAGTTCAGTCACAACAGGAGTGAAAGCTTTTTCGTGCCATCTTCTGGGGGGAATTTTCTGCAAGGCATGCCCAAAATTTCAAGTGACAGGGTTGCCTGGTAACTTTTCAAAGCTCACACACAGGGCTGGCTAAGTCAGTCTTGGAAATAAGATAGGTTAGAAAGATGTTTACAGTTTGATCTGGTAGCGCAAAGATGAGCTTTCTAAGAATCTCACCTTTCTTTTAAAGATCACAGGTTTCTCATTCTCAAGGTTGTTCTCTCAGAAAGAAGCAGGCATAGCTAAATGCAGCTATACATTACAGATGTAGCCAAACAGGTTTTCCTGTCCTTCCTCATGAACAGATGAAACCGAAATACAAAACAGTAACCATCGGAAAACTAAATTGTATGGATTTGCCCAGTTTCCATAATTTCTCTATGCCACGGACCTTAATATTTTTTCTCAGTGCCAAACCTGGCTTCATGTGACTCTGGAGAAATAGAAACTACCCAAAACATGCTGTTTTACTGCAATTTTCAAAGGGATCTGTGCATCTCCTCTGCTGTTCTCAGGAAGGACAAAAGAATACGACAACCGTCTTCTCCTTTTAGAGTCCAACTATGCTATGACCAACACGGTAGCCAAATTTTGTGTGGCTGCAGTGAAAATGCAGCAACACCTTGTTCAAATGGGAGAAATTTTTCAGCCTGGACCTATTTAATTAATTTTACTCTCTTATTAATATTAATTTTACTAATGTCATTTTATTTATTTTATCCTCCTTGTTTAACTTATTTTAGTGTTATGGACCTTTGATCGTAACAATCAAGCAGATTTGATTTGGCTTGGCTTGACAGGGTAAATAATTTAATTGGTTTTAGAAAAGCTTTTGCCTCAACCACTGACAGGAGAACCATCAGGGAAAACGTACAGCTGGGACACTCGGTCGCAACCAGCGACAGCAAGAGGAGTTTACCTAAGATGGAGCATCTCTGAGGCCAAATGGGAAAATCAAAGATGGCGCATCCCTGTAAGAAAGCGATGCGTAACCTCAGCTTTATTACCTCAAAAGCAGCTGAGATGATTTTGGCTTTCTTGCTCAAGACGCTGCCCACGGCGTTGAAGTTTTTGTCACGGATCTCTGCGTACAGCTCCTCCGCGGAATTCAGCTGCAGTTTCTTGGCCTCGGTGGGGAGCTCCTTCGTGCCCTCCCCCTGCTTCTTGGGAGCAAATTTTTCAGGGGGGAGTTTTACGTATGCTGTCAAACACCATTAAAAAAAAAAGAGAGGGACTTGGAGGCTTTAAAAGAAAGCCCTGCGAGAGACTGTGAAGATGTATATGACTTGCTTGCAGAAGCTCAGAACCCTCCTTCCTCCAATTTTTCCTCCTAACAACCCTGTGAAGCAGGCTGGGCTGAGAGGGAGGAGACAAAGTTTCCCCCTTCTTGGAGGGAAGGGGCCCCAAAAGGGAGCAGCCGAAAGGAGAAAACAGGGAGATGGACGAAGCGAAGTCTTGGCAATTTGTCTCCTCCCCTGAGAACGCATCTAGAGAGGATTGGCAATTCTGTCACCCTCTGGTCATGCCTGATTACTTACTGTTCTGAATTCCATATATTTCATCAATGAGGCCCTCGTAGGTCAGCTGGGTGGCCAGAGGAGATATCAAATCCACGTTGCGATCAAGCAGCAAAAGGGTATCGAAGACAGGCAATATGGGATTCTGGATCCCTGAAAACTCCCGCTTCATTCTGATCATCATGTTTGCCACGTGCTGGAATCCAAAGAACCCAGGAGGTTGCAGCACAGGCGACAAACCCTAACCCTAACCCTAACCTAGCCAAGACCAGGCATCTTTAACCTATATTCCTCACTGCCTGCCCTGCTGATTCAGCTCTCAAGTCCTAGGCACGAAAGCCAAGCATAAGCCACCTCCCCTTTGTCAGACCTCTCCCTACCTTTCTAACCTGGCAGGCCATCCCGGCTTCCACCACATCTATTTTGTACACTGCTCTTGCTCTTTGCCCAAACTAGGTGGCCAAGGCCTTCGATTGTTCCCTGTGGTTTGACCATCTGGAGTTAGGACATTGTGCCAAACTAGTGTTCATCAGCCACAAAACTTCCATAGGCCCCAATTTAGCTTCTAAATAATCCAAACAAAGGGGCTCCTCATTGCAAAAGCGGCAGGCAGGATGCTAGGCTGAGCTATTAATAAGGAAAGATGTTCCAGCTCATTTTTACCCGTGCACATTCCCCTTTTCCAAAGATGAGCGGGATGGTTCCGTAAAGAGCCTGGAGCGTCATGAGTCCTTTTGCTGCATGGTAAAGGCTGGTCTGGTCATTTTCTAAATAACACTCCTACGGAAAAGAAAAGTCACACTCAACGTTCCAGGAAGGTGGAATTTCCTGCAATCAAAAATGGATGCTTTCCCCCCTCTTAAATACTTCCAAGGAAAGAGAAGCCACCAGCTAAGGGCAACTATTACCGAACAGGTTTTCAATAATATTAGTTGCAAATTTAAAAAAAAACGTTTAACCACTCATCAACTGGAATTTTCAAAGCTGCTTATTGAAAAAAGCCCAGAATCATCATAAAACCAGAAACACACATCAGATACCTATCAAACCAGTGATCAGAAAGACACTCAACATCGTCTGGCACAGCAGTACTGATCAGATGAAAGCCTGCACAAACTGTTCAAACCCTAACCCTAACCACTGTTGAGGGAACAGTGTGTAAAAGAGGTGACTCTCTTTTTTGGACACCCACAGTAGAAACGCTCAGAAAAGATCCTCCAAAACAGATCTGTTCTGTTCTATTCATAAAACTTACATTTAATCCTAAAAACAACAGTGGAATGAAATACAAAAAGCAGTAAAATCAGCAAGATTAAGTAACCCAGCAGAATGGTAAAGAATGTACTGTAGCTAAAAATTAATTTGGTTCTAAAGCAAACTAACAGCACAAGAAGTACTATTTCACTGTGAAACAAATTTGTCTTACAAGACTGCCGCAAAGGGGCTTGGAAGAGTCCTAGTCCTACCCATGAGGCGGTCAGTCAACTTGCTGCTGATCCTCTGATTTCTTGTCCTACCATGCCTGGGGAGCCTCAGAGCTCTGTCTCTAATCCAGCCTCTTGCCTGACTAGTGAGGCCTGGAATGCCACAGGTCCCAATCTCAGGAGCGGCCTTGCTCTCTGTAGGTGCTGACCTTGAAGGCGTTTTCTGACTCCATGGACAAGAGGTCTCCATCGAAGGGAATGAGGTCCAGGCTGTATTCCTCTTGATGAATGAAGTGCTTCAGCACCCCCAGTTCTTTTAGTCGCTGCTCACATAATGAACTGCGACGTGGCACAAACAAGATATGGAAATCCCGCTGTGGGCAGCGGACTTTATCTTCACTGGAAAAAAAGAAGGAGCATTTCTCAGATCAAGCCTTCCCAGCTGAATGTTAATAGTCTCTGGCCCAATTCAAATGGCACCTTATGTATTAACTAATTAATTAATTAATTCAGTTAATATAGCCACCCATTAATGCATTAAATATAAATTTATTCATTGTTTAGATTGATAAGGCCGCCCAACTCAAAATTGACTCTGTGCAGTGTACGGATCCAAAACAGATACCATATCTAAAAGCTGATAAAAATCAGAACAGGGGAACAAACATGCACCCTAACTGAAACAGACAATGCACATCAGAAGGACATCCCCTGACCTTGGGGACTGGGGAAGAAAACAGGTTTTGACAGATTATTTAAAGGTTTGCAGAGTCGGGCAGTATGAACCTCAGGGTGGATGCTGTTCAAAAGGGCAGGTGCCATGGCAGAAAAGGACACTGATGATTTTGCTTGATGTCTTAGCATGAAGATGCCAGCTCTGTCAGTTCTTATGGGACTGGCTGAAGAGACGGTCTTCCCCCCCAACATAAACAGTATAGTTTTCCCTGATGAAAAAGCCAACGGCAGAACTGGACTCAAACTTCCCCAATGACTTTTTACCTGAGAATGTTGTCAGCAATGATGTCCATGAGCTCTAACCTGGGTCTGACAAAGAAAATAATGTTCTTGACATCAGCTGAGGGAAGGTGGCCTCCTTTGAGGGTGAACATTTTCTCCACCTCATGTTCCTGGCAGGAAACAAACAAAAAAAGACTATGAAAATATCCAATTTTGTTTTATTCTCTGGCAGTTGCTCCAGGAAGAGATGGGGCTTTGGGCTCAACCTGCTGCTATAGGTAGTAACAATAGTCTTTTTTGAAATAAAGGCACACCCTTCTCCATATCATTCCAGATGCACCAAACCATCCCAGCAATGTGGCTTTTTATTTTTCCGTAGGAAGAGAATAAGGCATGCATACTTTTTAATGAAAGCCCTGGTGCATTATCCTGTTTCCGGCATTTTTTACAACTCTTGCCCATGCCTTACCTTGAGAAGAGAATATTGTGCAATCAGTCCAAAGGGTCCTGTAAGGTATTCATCCCACACAATGGCCTAAGGAAGAGAAAACAGATTCAGGGGTGCCACAGCATTTCTTCAAGAAGCTGGGAAAGACTTTGAAGGACTAATAAAATATAATAATATAATGAGTTTGTTCCAGAAGAAAGCCAAAGAAAATTCAACAACAACAATAATTATACTAATGTATTCTGAGACTATAATGGCATAATAATATTATAATATAATTTTAAAACTATAATAATAAAACAGTAATCTGGCTAGGGCCAAAATCCTTGAAGTCACCCTCAGTTGATTAGACTGATACTCAATTGGACTAACCAGACAAATCAAAATAATGACATTGAGCAATAATAAAGCAGTGATTTTGCCCCAGAAAAGAGCCAAATGAAATGCAACCCAAATTTATTTATTTCTCACATTTATATAGCTGCCCATCTCACAATAAAGTGATTCTAGGCGGCTTACGAAAACAATGTATCCTAGAACTATAATATAATGATATACTAATAATATGACCCAAGGATAACGAGGGTGCGATATAACCCCAACAAACTATTAATAACATCAATGTATAATAAATAATATCAATGAATAATGAAATGTAACGTCAATGAATCATAGATATCAGTAAGTAACAATAACAATACCTATGTAGAATAAATATACTGAATAATAAATATTGAATGATAATACTAAATATCAATGCGTAATAAATATCAATGCAAAATACTATCAGCGCATAACAAATATCAGTGCACAATAATATCAATGCATAGTAAACAATATCGATGAATAATAACT